CGTGTGACGGCGAACGACATTGTGTAACCCGATTAAATCCGATAAAAAAGTCAATTAAGAAACGCGACCAAAGCCGAGCGCGCACGCAATTATGTCGCCGAGAAATCCTTTCTACGATCCCGACGTCGCGATAAATTAAAAAAATGTACACACACAGGCCGACTGCATTGTCCGTAAATGCGATTGCAAATAGTATTTGGGTCGCGATAGTGGTTTCTCTGTGTATAACGCGAAAAGAAGACGAGAGAATTCTCGACGGTGACGATTGGACTATTCAGCTACGTCGAGTCGAGTCATTGCGCGAAATGGGACTGTTTCGCGTGTAAAAGTGATATACGTAGTCGCAGTTGCGATAAGGATCGCTAAAATGAGGCAAAATCACGAAGAAACGCAATGCAATCATGTATCTCTCATTAAGACAAACAATTAATTATTATAGCCCCTTCGGACTTCGATGCTTAATTAACTAATTAATCTAACCGCGTTATCATGAAGGAAATCATTATTCGAACATGCAAATAAATGCTGAGGCACTCTCGTTGCGATAAGAAACGTACACGGGAAAAGCTTTTATTATAGTAAAAATTACGTTAGAATTAATTTTTTCCAATATTTCCGATTTTTTCAATATTTTTTGTAAAACAGAACTATATATTGAAAAATTATAATAAATAATAATATAAATAATAATAAATAATAATATAAATTACTATATATTTTGAAAAAGAGAAAAATATCTAATAAATAAAGGATATTTATTCGGTGGGTACTAATAACATATTTACTAAAATCAAAATTGTTATTCAAATAAAATAAACAATTGTTTTCATAAAAACAAAGATTTGAAAAAATGTATATTTCCTTATTTGTAAAAAACATTTTATATTAATACAAACATGTCGTTAATATTCACCAAACGAATATTTTTTATTTCTTAAATACTTTTTTCTCAGTGTAGAAATAGTAAATTTAACGATATACCTCATATACGACATAAAAAAAACATGCAAGCAATTATAGCAATTTTGTAATGAAACGTGCGTAACATTTTTAAACAAATGTATAGTAATTTTGCGGTCGTAATTCTATATGGTCCGAAATTATAAAAATCTCGTAATTCATGTTACAAGATCTCTATGTACAAAAAAATGCAAAGGTAATAACTAAGAAGCAAAAGTAGTCTCGCACGGCGGCGAGACGGAAGCGACAAGAAACATGCCTCGACGCGAACCACAAGCACGGAATTGAATCCCTTGCCCGCAACACGGTCGAGTCAAACGGAATTCGGATGACGACGAGGAGAAAAATATCGAACTTGAAATCGAGATCGACCTTGATTCCGTACGGGTGTGGCCCTGCCGTACGACTGTTGTAAAACCCGACGTAAAGGCACGCAAGCGTGTGCGACACGCGCTATGTCGTACGCGTAATACGCATACAACGTGGTGATTAGCATCGCAATGCAGGAGGAGAGGGAAAAAAAAGAGCTTCATTAGCATGAACACGACTGTCCTTCGCGATTGTATCGTTCCTCGCGTATTTATCCGCTCTCCTTGTGCCACCTTATTTTTTCGACAGGACCACTTTCAGTTTCGTCTCCCGCGAGCTTTCTCGCGGACTTTCTCGACGAAACGACCGCTACAATTACGTAAGCGCAAAACCGCCTCGCGAATTACGCGAGAGAGGAATATCTATGCGCTCGCAGCGCGTTAATTGGCGCTATCTACATTGCTAATTCCCGAGATTTAATGGGTCAACCTTCCCGAACTCGACCGACGAAAGGGAGATGAGAAAAAATGGCGAGTTTCCGTTCCGCTCGATCGCGTTTGATAGTCATGTGAAGTCTCGCGGACTGCGAATGATTGATTTTTTTCCGCTAATTAGGATCTTTCCGATACGTAACATTCAGGAACATCTTGTAAGTAAATGAATTAACGGTATCAACTGGTCGGGTAAGCTGCAAAGTCGCGAAGTGATTGGCGGCCGACTAGCTGTCAGTTATTATAGTGCATCGTTGAGAAAACGAGTTGTCGCGATTAAGCTCGACTTAGTCTTGCATTACGAAACATACGTCGCGGCTTACATCATTGTTTATGTTCGCGAACACCGGAAGCCGTTTCTGGCGAGAACGAGTCGACGTGGCGATGCCGATTCAAGCGAAACCGGCATCGACTAAACCCCCCTTTAATAAAAGGACGTTAAATCGCGCGGACGAGCGAGTTTCTACGCGTACGCTCATGCGTGAAGGCATTAAACCGCTGGATTAATCGGCGTTCACGGCCAACGTTCACGCAACCTGAGGCCAAAGCGAAGCCCGCTCTTATTACGGCGACTAATGCGGTTGGCACGCGTATCTATAATTAGCGCGATAATCTTGATGCTCAAAGTATCACCGATACGATTTATCGCAAATACTATACATCAAAAACGAATTGGCGAATGAGCGATGAAAGCTGTGCCGAAACCCAAGTCGAAATTTCGTCTCCACATTGATTCTGCAAATTCCAACGAATTTGTAGAATCCAATGTAAATCTCCAAAACACAGCATACTTCGACGCTATATGGGGAGAACTTTATAGTAAAAGTTACTATAGAAATCCCGAAAACATTACTATAGAATTATATCAAAACCAAAAAATGCTCTATTTTAGAAAATTCGCTACGTTTTCAGCGAAATTTACTATGTTTCTTGGCAAGATAGATTTTACTAACGGTCTATTCCTACACTACTAGAAACACACTAAGATTGAAAAGAATTTATATAAAAAAGAAAATTATAATATTATCTCCATGTACAAATGGTTATTCACTATATTATTTTTTCCATGTTGAATAGTCCTTAAAAAAGATTTGTATCACAATTCGATTATTTCGATATTCTTACACACTCTCTCTCTATATACATTTAATCTTAACTCTTAATTTCAATAAACAATATATTAATAACTTAATTCTCATTTAATTGTAAATAAAGTACGTAAGATAAATATAAAATAATTAATATAGATAAATTTGTGTTCATGCGTTGGAAATTTCGATAGAATTTGAAAGTTAAAATAAGGAAGAGGTATAAAGGTAAAGAAGAGCGGTTGATCTACTGTTTACTAATAGAGATTTCAATACAATGACAAAGCTAAACGTAAATGAAAAGAAGGCATTGGCGGATTCAAGATGGAATGCCTTGCGGCCTAAAGAGCATTATTAGAAGCAAAAAATAATACTTGCGAGATTTACATTAGATGTTACGTCCGATATTCATAACTGTAAATTATTCAGGATCTTTGATTAAAAGCATGATTAATCCCATGGACCGTTATACGATTGTAGATTAGTATTTATTGTTGTATAAAATGTTGTATAAAATGCATACACGTTGATTAATAATCAGAGATTCGTAAAAATATGATTGTCAAACTATATTTCGTAAAATAATTAAAAGCTATAAATGTCAGCCTAAATTTCGACGCGGATATTCTCGATAAATTCTTCAAATGTCAATTAAAATCGAAAATAATTCTACGCACCTGGAAATACATGATATATCGAGTATTTCTTCCGTTCTTACTTTCGAATCGGACATCCTGACATCCGGACATCTTAGTTCGCTTCGTGGCATTGATACTCCATAAGTACGATGATTCGATGATCAGTGAAATATGTTAATAAACGCGATGCCGACGAAGGCCTAATTAGTTATCTCAAAAGAGCCGACGAAATATTGTAATCAAACGACGAGAATTGAAACTAACACACCGATACACACGTGTATAGATCGTTTGTTGGCTCGCGACGTAATGTAATAATAGGAAAAATACACGACGTGCAACGACAGATTTGACTGCTTTAAAGTTCTACAATACTTCAGTTGTTGATCGTTTTGATTACTCGCGGCGATGAATACAAAAGGTTTGCGTCGGATGACATAGCCCTTTTTTGCCTGTTATTTTGGTACAGTCATTGTACAATCATTATACATCACATACTCGTGAATCTCTGAATATTTTTCACTTGTACACTGAGAGAAAAAATATCTAAAAAAATAAAAAAATATTCACTCAGTGGGTACTAATAGCATATTTATATCAATATATATAAAATATTTTTCAAATAAGAAAAAATAAATTTTCTTACAATCTTAATTTTCCATGAATATAATTGTTTATTCTATTTGTAAGTATATAAAAAAATTTTTTAATTTAAGTAAATATGTCACTAATATCCACAAAATAAGTATTTTTTATATTTTATATTTTTCCTCTCTGTCAGCATGTGTAACTATATTTATTTCGCACAACAAAAAAATCAATTTTATTTAAATTATATATTAAATTAAATATATATTTTGACTATATTATCAAACATTGCAAATAATTTGCAAATATGAATGCTAGCATTTAATGTAAAGGCAAATATTATTTTTAGAATATGTAATAATGCTTCTTGAAATGTAAGGGATTTTATTTTAAATCTGCCAACAACTTTTTTCACTATTTTTGTCATTATACTGAGTATAAATTTAAGTCTGCACAGTATTATTGAGCAAACAGCTGTTATTTTTACTCTTACAGTTCCTTTCTGTATTCTTGAATCCTACCGAATTTTTTAAAGCCGATGACAAAAAAATTTTCGAGTAAAGAAAGTTTGTTGTTTTATCTGCCCATCGATTTTTATTATTTACCGCAGAAAAAAGATTAGCCGCAGAAACTAAAATATAGTTGTAGCAACTAAAATGTGTCATTAAAATAGGAATAAATAATGTCTTTGCTCTACCGAAATTCAATTTGTTAACTGCTTGAACTTTGACACTACAGCAAAAAGTATTCAGTGATAGGAAGCTCTCATTATTGTAATTTTGCTATTTTCTTCAATTGTACTTTAAACCCATCAAACACAAAACTAACACTTCGCGTTGTAAATCTAAAGGTTTCTCACTGATTTTTAACACATTTTAATATCCATTTTAACGCATATGAAAAAAAATAATATCTTTCGGACTTACATGATAATTATATTTGATCCTTATGGCACAGATGGATGATTTCACGTGTATCGGCAGCGCGGCAACTTCCCCTTTTCGGTGGTCTTTGTTTCAAGTCGCTACGACTTCTGCAAGTGGAGTTATTAACAATTATGTCGATCCGCGTTTTAGATCGTTCGGCATTATCGCTGCCGCGAGCTGTGAATAGGCACGACGCAACGCGCGAATGGAGTGCGGAACTCTGTTTATTGCTTCCGGTAGGTCATATTACGCACTGTACGCGATGGTATGCCGCACAAGCCCGGCGCTCGAGCCCCCCCCCCTCCGCGACTCAGATAAGCACACAGCCACGCCCACTTACTTCATACAGTGCGCGCGGTCGTTCACCTCGCGTAAGCATGTAATACGCGAATGCGAGAGCAAGTACCAGTATTGCACGAGTGCGAACTTTGAGATCAAATTTGGAACCGTATTCTTGATACGTACATTGAGAGAAAAAACATCTAAAAAATAGCAAATATTTATTTGGCAGTATAATAACGTATTTTCTCTTAAATCTAAATTCTTATTTAAACAGAATAAATAATTACTTTCATAAAAAGCTAATGTTTTTGTAAGGTTTTAAGAAAATATTTTTTTATTCGAAAAATATTTTATATATTATAAGAACGTAAGAGAATGTAATACGCGAATGGGAGAGCAAGTGCCAGTATTGCACGAGTACGAATTTTGAGGTCAAATTTGGGACCGTATTCTTGATGCGTACACTAAGAGAAAAAAATATCTAAAAAATAGCAAATATTTATTTGGCACTATAATAACGTATTTTCTCTTAAATCTAAACTCTTATTTAAACAGAATAAACAATTACTTTTAGCTTTTTAAGAAGCTAATGTTTTTATAAAGTTTTAAGGAAATATGTATTTTCTTATTTGAAAAATATTTTATATATTATACATATTTTATACATTAAGAAATATTTATAAGTATGTTATTATAATATATAGTACATTTTTAATTTCTCAGATATTTTTTCTCTCAAGTTAAATGATCTTATACTGGATGTTTGTACGAGAAAAACGGAACTTGAAATAAAAAAGGCATAATTAGAATTCGAATACGCGTCCTAATACGTCTTGAACATTATCGCTATGTCTCATCATCCTCTTTCCTTCTCGCATTCTCACTTTCCGCATATGTGCATCAATCACGCATATACACATACATATTGTATCATTATATCATTTCTTATCCCGATTGCGGAATAACTGCCTAGACAAACGAATAATTCATCATTACATCGACAAATATATATGCAAACTTACGTTATCTAACTCGTACCAGACTGACCACTTGTGCGCCCCGTCGAGTAACCTGTTCGCAACCGTCGTTGTCTTGCTCAATGCACATCGACGTTGATTCGCATTTGCGAATTTTTCGTACTCGTCTCGTCCCAGACTCTCTTCTCCTTCCACCAAATACGCTGATAGTCGTTTGTCAGCAGTTGCTCGATGCGAGGCCGTTCTTCTCTGTAAGATTCGCGTATAAATATAAGAAAATATGTCATCAAATTCGCGTATAAATATAAGAAAAAAATATTATCTTTGGCTAGCATATATGCACCCACACGATTTGCCGTGTCCCTCCGTTGTCTCCAGTTATCCGTGATAACCTCCTGCGTAGACACATCGTGGAATTAGAGGTGAAATCGCGGTGCACTGTTGAAGAACACGACGAAACATGCGGATCTCGGCAGCCCGTTTAAACCGCAATCGCGCCATTATATGACACAGGCCACTTTTGAAGAAAAAACACCGTTTAAACGAAGACATCTTAGGCCTGTTCTTTGTAGTTGCACTGCTGAACTGGTGCAATATATTGAAGTGAAACAAATATACGTTTTCTCACTCTAACTTATTGCACTAGTTCAGTAGTGCAGCTACAAAGAACAGGCCTCTTATTGGCTATATTATCTAGAATATCTTCCAAGATGACACTTCTAAAGGCCTGTTCTTTGTAGCTGTACTGCTAAATTAGTGCAATAAGTAAGAGTGAGAAAACGTATATTTGTCTCACTTTAATATATTGCACCAATTCAGCAGTGCAGCTACAAAGAACAGACCTCTTAAGATATTTTAGGTTTGTTTTTCGTTTCTACACTGCTGAACTAATGCAATAAGTTAGAGCGAGAAAAAATATACTTGTCTTACTCTAACTTATTGCACCAGTTCAGCAGTGCAGGAACAGAAAACAAACCCATTATTGTAGGGCATGCATAATGGCGTCATCGCGATTTGAACAAACTGCCGAGCCATGGCTCGTCGCCTTGTCAAGTACATCCTAACCATGGACATCCACGTCATGCACCCCACAACGTCGTGTCTTCGGATTACACAAACGCAAAAGTTCTCATGACAGTTTTCCAGCAAGGAATACTGTTACACAAAGCTGTCTTATCTGACTACGGATTGTCTTAGATATCTTAGATGACAGGTAGCCAATAAGATGGCTTTGCATAATACAGTGTTCCTCGCTAAAAAACGATCTGTATGAAAAATATATCCTATTTGAACGACAGCAAGACGATCTGTATGAAAAATATATCCTATTTGAACGACTAACTCGTACTACATTGATAAAGATGTATACGAACATCTCACCTAGCTTGCTCTGTGTACCCGCTATTTGTGTACTCGTCGAGTAACCTATTCGCAACCGCCGCTGCCTCGCTCGACGCACATCGACGTTGATTCGCATTTGTCGAGTCTCTCCATGGTCCGCCGTCATCCATGATAACCTTCTGCACAAACACGTCGTTGAATTCGGGGTGAGAACGTGGTGCATCGTTGAAAAACGCGACGAAACATACGGATCTCGGCGGTTCGTTCAAACCGTGATTGCGTCATTACGCGCACACAGGTTCGCTCGCAAGCGCCACCAACGCTGTCCTCATGAAAGCCACCGAAGCGAGTTTGAAAACATGGATACCCGCAGTGCAGCGCCGTGCACCGGACAACATCGTGTCCTCGAACTATGCGACGACGAAGGTTTTCATACCCTCATATGAAAAGTACGTCATGTTCGAAGGTTAATTCGAACGAGAACCGGGAGATTAGCTTGTAATTTGAAAACTACTCTTGATATGATATGTATTTAAAAATAACACGGTAATAAGAACAATAACAATCATGTGGGTGCATATATGCTAGCCGAAGATGACGTTTTTTTTTATATTTATACGCGAATCTGATGACATATTTTCTTATATTTATACGCGAATCTTACAGAGAAGAACGGCCTCGCATCGAGCAACTGCTGACAAATGACTATCAGCGTATTTGGTGGAAGGAGAAGCGAGTCTGGGACGAGACGATTGCCGAGAAAACCGCGGGCAAAAGAATACTACCCCGTATGGTAAATAATTTGATAATGATTGCTGTATAACTGCCGCGATCGAAACAAAATATCTTATATTACAGCTGATCAAAAGGAAAGTTCCAACGTGTGTGACTGTTAAGTATCAAACGCGAACCGATCGATGGATGGGAAAAAAGAAACAGGATTTTGTGTTACAAAAATCAAATCCGAAGAAAAAGGAAATTGAACGAGAGTCGAATGGGAATTCGAACACGACAGAGTTAAAGACCACAGAAGATAACGATACAAAAGTAGAAAAAAGCGAAGAAATAAAATCAGAAAACCATAAAGAAACACAGTCGGAAAATAAGAAAGAAACCGAATATGAAAGAGAAGAAGAGAGAGAAGAAGAAAGTACTGATTGAGTCTGCTTAACTTGATTCATACGAATTCCGCAATAAATGATGTTATTTCCATAAAAACATAATGAAAATAAAATAAACGTGTCATTAAGACCGTATCATATTTTATACATAATTTCCTTCCTTTGAAACTATTCCTAATTTCGTATTATAAATATATCATGCATAAAATTTAAACGATTACTTCATTCTATCATGAAAAATTGTCAAAATTTAATAAATTATAAATCATTATACTGCTTGAAAATAAGATAGTCTCCCAGCTAACTGTTTAATCGTGAAACATAAAGATAAAATCGTTTTCTAACAAATTATTGAACGTGACATTTAAAAAGAATGTTTGAACAGTTGTTGCTTACCAGACAGTTGTTACTTAAGCCGTACTATGTAGAGATGAAAGTTTTTTAATTTCCCATTAAATAACTCAAAAATAAAAGTACGTCAACTTGCTGAATTGTACTTCGACCTCTGTCCTTCGATAATGATAATGGAGCCATCTAACGGTGTCAAGTAAAACTCATTCGAGCAAAGAGGTTCGAGATAAAAAAGATTTGGATTTTATTTGCATTCAGGTTCAAGGAGCTTTAGACCTTTGACTATGGCTTGGTTTACATCGTGCACTTAATACGCGTACTAAATAATAACTTTCTATTAGATAATCTTAATATCGACGATATATATAAACAACGGTATATTACACTGGTATAATATTCATCAACAAAACGTATTGTATTGATTAAATGCGTCGCCGTTGATATGCATTGTCGATATTAAGATTATCTAATATAAAGTTACTATTTATGTCCAATTTCTTCATCTCCGGTTAACTTTATCTGTCGGATAAATGTCAACCGTGATTGGTTAATTTTGCCAAGCATAAATATGATTGGTCAATTCCAACAGAATAACTGGCAGATAAAGTTAACCGGAGGTGAAGAAATTGAGCATTAGTACGCGTATCAAGTGCACAATGTAAACCAGGCCTATAGGTCTGTTCTTTGTAGCTGCACTGTTGAATAGTGCAATAAGTTAGAGTGAGAAAATGTATATTTGTCTCACTTCAATATATTGCACCAGGGAGCTTATTACAGTTCTGTGTGAAAAGCGAAAATGCGAAAAGTGAACGAATTTACTAAAATATTTATAATTTCATTGGTCAACATTAGTGAATTCGTTCATTTTTCGCATTTTCACTTCTCACACAGAACCGTAATAAGCTCCCAGTTCAGCAGTAGCTACAAAGAATAAACCTTATGGCTGGTGGCTCCTGCACACAGGACGCGGTAATGCTTTCCACAGGGTGGGACCCGATTGACCACGATACGATTGGACACAGATTGTAATGATTGGTTAGACCTAGTAATTCATTAGATAATTCTTTTCATCGGTTGGTTGTGTCCAATCGTACCGTGGTCAATCGGGACGCTCCCCTTTCCACGCGACGGAAATTCGCGCGACAGCCAATCAATATGCTGTTTTCCGTAATAAGGCTGATATTTGACGTGTCGTACGACAAGCTTTTTGGATACATTCATTGGTTGACGAACAGAGAACCTAGAAATACTCTATTCGCCAACCAATAAACGTATCCGAAAAGCTTGTCGTACGACACGTGAAATAGCATCCTAACTTTCTAGCTCTTACGGAAAAATAACATATTGATTAGCTGTCGCGCGGACTTCCGCCGCACGGCGGAAGTTCGCGTGACAGCCAATCAATATTCTACTTTCCGTAATAACTTTCTAGTTCTTACGGAGAAACAACATATTGATTGGCTGTCGCGCAGACTTCCGCCGCGCAGCAAGCATTACCGCGTCCTGTGTGCAAAAGCCATAAGAAGTTTACTTCTGTGAACGCGTGCATTGTAGTTTCGGTTTAACCGCTGGCATGATAAGACGTATTTGAACAAGTTCAGACCGTTGATTTTTGGAACCTGCTAAGGCCTTATTTATTCATACCTAACATTGTAAATGGTGAAAGGTCCTAAAAAATAAGGACTGTATACCAATTCGGAAGGAAGGAACGCGTGCATTGTATCTAATTGTGTCTGCGATAGTTGATGAGTGAACATGTCACCAATGCGAGAAGTTTTGCGTGATTCCAGCGGTGATTCTGGTATGTAACGTCAATTATTTTATATTTATATCATCCTGCAAATTCAAGAATTACACATAAAAGAGTGTAATGTTGATTTGGTGACATTAATTAACAGTTCGTTTAGTGATGCTGTTTTTAAGGTTATGTTTGAATATAGTATGCAGTACATACCTTCACATAAGTTCTGTTTTCAGGATCAGAATCTGATAATGCTTCCATTTCCTCAAGATCGAGTCGCAGCGGTAGCCCGACATCACAGGCTCCAATACAGGCGTCGAACAATGCCAGGAGTGAACAGAACTCTGAGGATGAAAATGGAGCACGTTCTGTCGTGTCCAACGCTAGCGGTAGATCCTCGAGGTCCAGTAGCCAAACAGTTGAGTCGAATAAATTAGATGGTAGTCGCAAGTCAGAGAGTCCATCGAGATCACCATCACCAGCGAGATCAGGTTCTAGACATTCCAGCGTTGGCTCGGTTCAGAGTGAAAAGTCTGGCTCTCGCAGATCCAGAAGCGCTACTCCAAAATCAGTAGGTTCCAACAGTTCAGAGTCTCCAAAGTCTTCCAGATCACAGTCTCCGCATGGGAGTGTGCACTCTACAAGTTCAAAATCACCTGCTAGTCCAAAATCTGTCCACTCAGAACGTAGATCACAAAAAGGAAAATCCAAATCTCCAGCTTCACCCGCGTCCAATGGTTCTGGTTACGATTCTCCAAAGAGTCGTAGATCTAGGAGTGTTTCCTCTCAAAGAAGCAACAAATCAACAGGCTCTATAAGTCAGCATTCTCCAGCAGAAAGGCGCTCGAAATCCCCCGCATCTGGAAATGCAAAATTGTTGGATGAACCTACCGAGAGAGCAGACTCTGAAAAATCAGATACTAAGAGATCACAGTCGAAAAGTCCTAAAGATAAAAGTGATAATGAATCAAACAAATCTTTTAAACAGACAGGTTTGTATCACTTTGTTTCATCTCAGCTCTGATATTTAAGGCTCCTGGCCCCTCGCATTGTCTATCTCTTTTTAATGACGTCAAAAGCTAGAAAATGCATGCTAAAAATTCTTGCGAAATACGTTAAAATAAAAATATATCGCGCGTGATCATTCATCAATCTTTTTTAATTAATGTCTCGACTATTATTGCGAATATCGCAAAACGGTATAGGACTTTTATGTTCACCTCAGCCCGTTCTATATTCCCACTTAATATGAGAAGGACAGTGTGGGACACCCTGTATATCCATAAAATAACACTTGTATAAACTAATTTTGACATTGTCTTCCTAATTAGGTGACAATCAAAGTCCAAAATCCGACGAAAGCGATAACGAAATGCGATCGAAAAGTAAACGAAAGAGCAGCGAATCTGGCTCGGATACGGAGAAAATCAATAAACGATCTAAAAAGATAATAAACTCAGATTCCGAGAATGAAACGGCGGACAAGGAAAACAGCATTGCTCCAACCGCGGACGCGTTGTTCGGCGATGCGAGTGATATTAGTACAGACGATGAGAAAGAAAAGAAAGAAGAAGAAAAGGAAAAAGAAAAGATTCATAGGGAAAGTAGAAGTAAGAGCAAGAGTCGTAGCAGAAGCAGAAGTAGAAGCAGAAGTAGAAGTAGAAGCAGAAGCAGAAGTAGAAGTAGAAGTAGAAGTCATAGTCGCGGAAGATCTGAAAGTGGTGGAGAAGGTCCCAGCCATCGGGCTCTTATTGAAGATGTAAGTTAATGAAACATGAATTGAGTAATCTTTATACCTTATTTTTTTACACTACCTATTTTTCTTTACGTTCTCTTACATCTTTACGATGCTTTATATCGTTTATATTGGTACAAAAAAGTTTTATGTAAAATAATCATAGAAAACGTACATAAAACGTATTTGTTCTATAGGAAGAAGATAAAGATAAGGAAGAAGAACCAGAACTACCACCAGAAACTAGAATTGACGTGGAAATTCCAAAAATCACTACTGACCTCGGACGTGAGATTCACTTCGTTAAGTTGCCGAATTTCTTATCCGTGGAAACGAGACCATTCGATCATGAGACTTACGAGGATGAAATTGACGAAGAAGAGACTCTGGACGAAGAGGGACGAGCTCGTCTGAAACTTAAAGTTGAAAACACACTGAGATGGAAAGAGACATTTAACGAAGAGGGCAAAGTAGTAAAAGAGAGTAACGCGAGATTTGTCAAGTGGTCGGACGGTAGTATGTCGTTACACTTGGGCTCTGAGATCTTCGATGTGTACAAACAGCCTTTACAAGGCGATCATAATCATCTCTATATTCGCCAAGGTACCGGTCTACAAGGTCAAGCAGTGTTCAGAACGAAATTAACTTTCAGACCGCATTCTACGGAATCATTCACACACAGAAAGATGACCATGTCATTAGCTGACAGATCGCAAAAGACCTCCGGCATCAAAGTTCTCTCTCAAGTGGGAATGAATCCAGATCAGAACAGATATGAAATGATAAAGGTATCTCGCTATTATTTTAATCACAACTTGTATTTTCTGAATTTTCAGATGGTTGAATAATTCGAACTGTTCGAAGAATTTAAAGTTTACAATTGAACTTTAAATCATTTGAATCTTGTAAAATTGAGAGGAAGGAAATTCGAGTTCAGTTTTTATCTGAATCTGAAACTTCAATATTTTAAACTGTTTAAGACAATTTAAAACTTCAATATTTTAAACTGTTTCACACAATTTATTCGAATCTTCTGCGCTAATCTCAATTTACAACTGTAACTAGTAACATGTGTCATTACTCGTATCTTTATAGAAAGAGGAAGAGAAGCTACGCATGGCCATGCGAGTCCAAAGCAAATCTAAAAAGAGTGTTGGAGGTGTCAGGAATACTAGCCGTACTGCAGGAGCATATAGTGGCGATGCTTATCATGATGACGGCTCTGATGATGAGGGTGCGATTTCGTTAGCAGCCATAAAAAATAAATATAAAAAGGGAGGCGCCGCAATTGCTAAAGGTTTGTAACAAAACATTATCTATATATTGCGTTAAAATGTATCATTTATGAGTATTATCTTTATATATAACCATAATTGCAACGCAAAAGATAATGATATTTAACTACAAATAGACATAAGCTGATACATTTTGCCGACAATATCGAAACAATATTCTTAAATTATAGCTGCTTCAAATATATATTCATCAGATGAAGAAGGATCGGACTTTGAGACACTTAGGCCTAAAAAGAATTTCAAAGGTAAAGTACTTAAAGATTCAGACGAAGAGTCGAACTCTGAAAGTTCTTCAGAAAGCGGTGGGGAAGACAATCAAGTTGAAAATACAAGTGATTGAAATGTACATATAAATATCTGTACCTTGAAAAAAGATCAATATTCACTAATAATAATAATAATGAAGAAAGACTAGGTGGTAGTAAAGATGTGTTTCAAAAAGCCTTACCTAGTTAAGAAATAAGAATAATATAAATCTAAATTTAAATTGAAATCTCAAGATGAATAAGAATAATATAAAATAAAACGGAAGAAAACTTTCGATATCTATATAACTAGACGGAAATGCAATTTGTGTGGCGACTGTATAAAAGATAAATAGAAAAGGAAGAAAAGGAACAAATTGACAGTGGAAAGAAATGAAGGTAGGTAATAAAGATAGATAATCATAACATCTAGAATTATTAAGCTTCAAAATGTAAAAGATTTTTGAACATAAATTTTTCTCAACCGCGATTTTCTATTCTCAAAAACAATAAAATATTCGTTAATTAAAGTCTGCTAGTCAAGTATTCAAATGTCTACATTTTTCTTTCAAGCTATAGATATATAAAATAAAATATTAACTTATAAGCCTATAGAATAAGTTAGGGTTTCAGTCTTAAATAACAATGTCTTAAAACAACGATTGTATAATACTGAAAACTAATTTAACATAAAAGATTTGAGATCCAATATTTGGAATTATTTTATAATTTTTCTATTTTGGATTTTAAATTTTAATTAATAATTACAGGGCACTTTTAAAACAGATTATAGTAACTATTTTTAAGCAAAAGTAGCAAGTTTATTCATTGTCATTTTTTTTCTTTCTATAATAGTATGAAATAAATACTGACCAGACATTGACCAATATTTGGCCAAATATATATAAAATAAATATTGACCAAATAATTATATAATTTATTTTGTAAAAAATATCCACATCCTGAAAGAACTTTGTATTTTATTTCGCACATTAGTTTTCAGCAGATTTATAGTTGTCTTTAAATATGTTCTGGTAATCGGACAAAAGATATGGTTAAAGTTTGTAGTAATTGTGTGAAAAGGCGCTTTTGTTAAGAATTGTTTGTTCTTAACTTCGATTATTTTTATCGACATGTTTCATTAAGCGTAGTGAGCTACTCGACAAGAATTGTGAAATAACAATACACGCATAGTTTTAAAATAATGGCGTCTTGTAATATTTTATATATATAGTAAGATTTTATGTTCACCATATAATATACAATAAGTTTGCCGAATAAAAAAAAGTCCGGAATCTTCCATCGTAATGCAACGGAAGATCACTGAAGTATAAACAATTAAGTAAATTAATATCCTCGTTAAGGGATTTTAGATAATTATAAGTTATTTGTAATCGACCACCATCAAATCCTACTGTGCCGAAAAATTTTAAGAAGCGCTCGAAAACACAGATATTCCGTTGCACACAACCAAATTTTAGAGTTTGTGTAAATAATAAATTGACTCGCTTTTCTGTGGGAACAAGCTCGACACGATACAATATTTAGACATAGGATACATTTAGTCTTCAACAATTATGCGTTATGCATTACAAATTGCTAGATACTTCCGTGAAAATAATTAGTTGTTGCTTACTGGCAGGTATATTTACTCAATACCATTATGTTCACCGAATCAGAAGATGGCCGATTTGACTAGACTACGGTTTTGAAATGGTAATTCTCAACGATATCCTATAGAAGCGCTCGCTCAGGTCACTCTACATCGTCTGTTATATTATAGTTTGTGAATTCTAATTTAAACTAGGATTTCGTTCTATGTCCCACTGTATCTCAATCCTTGGCCACTTTGTCTGCAGGACTGTCAGCATAGGATTACTATCCATGATACACTTCACGGTGCACTCAAGTAGTACCGCTTGTCCCTTGTGATACTTCACTCTATTCTCTGGATTGCTACGTTGCAGACCGTTGTAGTGATATAAGACAAACGTATCC